TATCGTGATAGAGTCAATAATATCACTGAAATACCAACACATTTTAACCCTCCATTTTCATCCTCAGTTTTAGCAGATATTAGATGTGATGATATCTCCTCTGAAGTGTATGATAATTATAAAGATTTTCTTCTCGATCCTGCCAATAATTGTTTGCTTTCTATTAGGATTGCATGCTTTCTATTGTGCGCTCTGATCGAAAAGGTTTCAGTTAGAAATATTTTTACTACGGCCATTAAAATAATTACAGAAACAGTTTCATAATGACAAGAAAAGAAATAATAGACTTCAGTCATATTTTATCAGGTATGTCAGACAATAATATGGCTGAGCTAATCAAATGCTATAAATATTACAATTAAAAACTTGACTGTGTCAGACAAGCTAGAAAATCTTATAGTAAAATAATAAGCACACTTAACTATATTCCTATGATATTACACAACTAGTGGACTTATTTCAGTGTGTGTGTGTGTGTGTGTGTGTGTGTGTGTGTATGTGTGGTGGGGCATTCAATCCATTACTGTTAATCGTTCCCGGGGGGAGGTACTGTTTTATCGGCGGTTAATAGAAAGATCAAGCCAAAATACGAGAACAAAAAATGTCTTGTAAAATAGCAATAGCGATATATATTAATATTCTTAATCAAATTCGAGCTTATTTCAGAGGTGAAAAGTTTATAATATAAGATCTTATAGAGAAACTGCGAGTCAAAGTCGATTTACTCTTTAATATGATACCAAACAGAGTTGCAAAATACGAACAATGATACTCATTAAATTATATGTAAAATCCCTTTCAGAACTAAGGAGAGGTAAATATATATGTGTGAAATATAAAAAATAAAGATAGTAAAATTTTTGTGTGAAATATAAATCCAGGTAAGGGCCACCATTCTGTAAAAATAACAAAATGGAGTACCTGACGACCATTCTGAATGACGTTGGATATCTTTGGTAATTATCATATATTTCGATTGTGAGTAAACATACCCTTTGGTGAATCGCAAAGTGCGAAAGAAAATTTTAGAGATTCAAAGGGCTGACCAGGCTAATTTTCAATTTTGTAATTGTTGGATCACTAAGAAGAGAGAGAGAGAGAGAGAGAGAGAGAGAGAGAGAGAGAGAGAGAGAGAGAGAGAGAGAGAGAGAGAGAGAGAGAGAGAGAGAGAGAGAGAGAGAGAGAGAGAGAGAGAGAGAGAGAGAGAGAGAGAGAGAGAGAGAGAGAGAGTTTGTAATAAGCGAAGCCCGGTAGCTTTGAGGTTTGGATGTGCCAGGTGAGTTGCACCTGGATTTAGTTGTTTATTTACAAGTTTTCAATTACCCGTTTAAGCGTATAACGTCTTTTTCAATGCTCGTAGGCGCTCTTCCAATTATAACAGTTTCCCTCACGGAATGCAGGACAACATGTCTATTGCATTTTTTTTCTGGAATCGGACACATCAAGGAGTTTCCACTAGCCGCTCTAACGTTTGTCTGTACACCTTAACTACACGGCTTTCAAGCTGTTACAGACATACAGATGAAATTCAGATATATAATTATACGAAGCGGACACTGATCAGAGCGTGTGTAAATCGATGTTTTGTAAAATTTCAGCGAGTTATTAGTAGCGCATTCATTTTAACAGACCAACAAATCTCAACGAGATATTAATAGTTTCAACATAACTATGCAATGAAAGTGTGTGTGTGTGCGTGTGTGTGTATCTGTGTGTGTGATTTGGATATTTAAAGTAGTTGTAATATTTGTTTTCAGTCATATCGCTATGATATATGCAGTGTAATGTGTTGCACCGGGGCACAGAATGAAAGAAAAATGTGCGTGTTTATATATAACATTCAGTTTCCAATCACAATTCCAGTATATGCTACCTGATAATACTCCCCACATTCGAGCAATGTCTACCAAACAGTATGCAATTCCCAAACCAAATAGGAATTATAAAAAAAGTTTCCAATACTCTGGAACTTTCTCTGGAATAGTACTCCAGTTGAGATTTGAAATGCACAATAAATTTTCTTCTTCTAAACCTAATGTATCCAGTGGCTTCAGAGATGCAGCAAAAATAAATAAATTTCTTTGTATGAGGGCCTCAAGGTAGATTAGTTCTTAGCAAATTGTGTTGCCCTCTTTAAATAAAGACATTATTATTATTATTATTATTATTATTATTATTATTATTATTATTATTATTATTATTATTATTATTATTATTATTATTATTACAATTATTATTATTATTATTATTATTATTATTATTATTATTATTATTATTATTATTAAAATTATTATTATTAAAATTATTATTATTATTATTATTATTATTATTATTATTATTATTATTATTATTATTATTATTATTACAATTATTATTATTATTATTATTATTATTATTATTATTATTATTATTATTATTATTATTATTATTATTATTATTATTATTATTATTATTATTATCATTTTTCAAATTATTATTATTAAAATTATTATTATTATTATTATTATTATTATTACTATTATTATTATTATTATTAAAATTATTATTATTGAAATTATTATTATTATTATTATTATTATTATTTTTTTTATTATTATTATTAAAATTATTATTATTAAAATAATTATTATTATTATTACTATTATTATTATTATTATTATTATTATTATTATTATTATTATTATTATTATTATTACAATTATTATTATTATTATTATTATTATTATTATTATTATTATTATTATTATTATTATTATTATTATTATTATTATTATTATTATTATTATTATTATTATTACAATTATTATTATTATAATTATTATTATTATTATTTTAATTATTATTATTATTATTATTATTATTATTAAAATTATCATTATTATTATTATTAAAATTATTATTATTATTATTATTATTATTATTATTATTATTATTATTATTATTATTATTATTATTATTATTATTATTATTATTATTCCTTTTGATTGTAGGAGGTCTCACTTAACTGGAATAAACTTTATCGATCAGAAATAAGTAAAAATGAAAGTTACTCTCAACCTTGCCGCCAGTAAAATAAATATAATTAGGAATATAGCTATGCATTGCTTACCAAAAGCAGATGACCATTGATTACATCAATATCCTGATGTACAACATTAATTACACAGACATATAGTGGAGCCCTGATGTTACCTATAAAATATCAAGACGATTTTGAATGTGGACTGTCAATTAAAAAGGCTCCAGCTACATGTTTTAAATAATAAGCAACGATGTTAATTCACCAGCCACCAGTTTATCTCAACTTCTCAACTTGAATACTTTTCTTATTGCTTGGTTTTACTCAGCAACTATCAAAAAGTAAAACATACCCATATCTTGAATTCTAATAATCATATGTTTCTTAAAAATTCTGTGAGTATCCACAAGAGGGAGGAATTTAGGAATGGGTATCCTCAAAATTGAAGAAATCACTAAAGGTATTCTCCAAATAGAGACAAAACACTTAGGGGATCCTCCAAATTGAGGAAATCACTAATGGTATACTCCAAATAGAGACAAAACACTTAGGGTATCCTCAAAATTGAGGAAATCACTAAGGGCATCCTCCAAATAGAGACAAAACACTTAGGGTATCCTCAAAATTGAGGAAATCACTAAGGGTATCCTCCAAATAGAGACAAAACACTTAGGGTATCCTCAAAATTCAGGAAATCACTAAGGGTATCCTCAAAATAGAGACAAAACACTATAGGTATCCTAAAATAGATAAAATCACTAAGAATAAACATATTCTGAGAGTACAACTAAAACCTATCAAGATATTTTTCATTCTTTCTACTATCTCAATCACCGACTAAAATCCCAATTTATTAGACGTATCCAAGGTTGAGAAAATATTTTGATAAACTGTGTGAAATAGATCTCAGGTAGTCCTTGGTAAAATACAGTCATCAATTAATTCAATTAACAAACATTCAGTTTCTTGGAGCATTTTAGGTTTGGCCTTCCACATACAACAACGAAGTAGTACATACCTATTCAAAGTAATTTGGTAGATCTTACCTCCAGACTCGATCACCTGCCTTAATACAGTTAGATACTAAACTTAATCTTGTATGCTTCCTTTGACGGTATAATTATCCCAAATCTCTCGTTCATGTGGCACTTACTGCAATTTCCATCATCGTGACAACCAGCAATGAAATTTTTGCTCTTGGCAGAATTCACATACTAACATTACATAAATTACTTCTTCCTAAGAGGAAGTGTCACCATGAATTGTTTCAATCAGTTCCTTCCGTCTAATTTAGTCAAGCCAGACTTAAGAAAATCTAGACTTTTTCTGCTTCATCTATATCAAATTTTCCATAAAATTGTAAATTTCTTCACTTTTGTACTTCAAAATATTCTGGGAATGGGAACAGTTTCGCGGTCATAGTATAGGAAAAACATCTTCCAGTAGACACATGTTATGAAATAGTTGTTTCCGAAAAATATTTGAATAAATATTTATAGGTAAAAACGTCCCCAAGATTTTTCCTACGTTTGTCGAAGTGATTAAATAAAACTGGAACGTATGTATTGTCTGTAAATTCATGTAAACTATTTCTATACGGTAAGATATATGATATTCATGATGGTTAAACGTGCAAATAATAACAAAGAAGGTGGCGGATGTGTAGAAGAAGCAAACTGTTATTATTACTTGATGCTTGGCCGTTTTTAGGAGGAAATGTGTGTGTGTATGTGTGTGCATGTGTGTGTATGAGAGAGATTTTTAAGGTAGCTTTAACAATGTTTTAGTCATATCGCTACGATGTCTATAGTTTGGCAGTTTTTAATGATGTCTAGCACTGGTGTATCATGCCGCAGACATGTAGCATGATGTCCCACCCAGTCAAATAATTCTGACAACAGGTCAGCCAATCCTAATACTAACCTCCTAATGCTAAGCGCATAGTGAGTCATCTGTTAGTACCATTTTTAGGTCTTTGATATGACTCGCATGGGGTTCGAACCCGCAACCTCTCGCATTCATGGCGTTCGCTCTAACCACTAGGCCACCGGAGAGGTGTTAGGAGGAAATCATGTGCTTTTTCTGCATGACCTTTTTCTTCTCCAGCTCCTTTTCATTCTGTCTCTCCTTCTTTCTCTTTGTAATAAATTTGTTGAATGTCAGACACATTGTTAAGCGTGTTGGGCATTTGTACCTCCAAGTCTGTGCGTGATCGTGGTTTTCCCGTCGGCCTGACTTTAAATTTATATTATTAATATTTCTGGTCTAGTGCTCTGGCTGGTACACGGTTGTTTGTTGCCAAGAGATATATATTTACAGTGTATGCCTACGTCCATCCGTATATTCGGTTAAGTGTTGTAGGTGTTTCACTGTGTTACCGATGTGTTGCATAGTGCGAGTACTAATATTTTCCCATGAATATTATGGTGGTAGGGAACCAGAATGACTACATATGTTTCCTAATAACCGGAATATGAATATGAATATGAATATCATGGGGGAGACAAAGATCAGATATTTTTCATAATAACAGAATATTATATCATATTTGTTCTTCACGTGCTACACTTTGACCAATGAAAACGCAAGAAACCTTGGTGGGCTAAAAAACTAAAACACAGTACGTGAATAAGCTCATATTGGATCGTCGTGGAATTAGGATTACAAATTAATAATACGTGACGTAATGAGTCATTGTTTTATATCTAAAATCAACCAACGTGGACAGACTCCTGATTTCTACTGTCAAAATGTGCATGACATTCCCGGAGCTAAATAAAAATTTTGATGATGCTGGTTTTTAAAACTGAGCTGTTATCACCTACTTTTGAAAACCAGCATCATCTATTTTGATCTTTACCTTTCGTAATATGTCAACATTAATTGGTATTGTTGTTGTTACTCTGTTGTTGCTGCATCGAGTACGAAGGGAAAACATTTGTCAATCCATCCTACCTCCATTATAACAAATTAACCTCCCAGTGTAAGGTTCCGATATTGGCCGCAATTATAACAAATTAACCTCCCAGTGTAAGGTTTTGATATTGGCCGCAGTGATCAATTGCTACAAATCTTTTATGTAGTAAATTTTGGCGTCAGTGAGCATTGCCGCTAACGTCATGGAATAATCTCATTGCTAAAACTTTTTAGATTACGATAAATAAGTTGACTCTCTCTTCTTGTTCCACAAATTGCATATCTTTAAAATATACGCATGTCTGATTTGTCCAAATAAGCAACTACCCACGTAAACCTCTATTATATAGAGTACAGAACCAGATAATTACTATATGATGATATATATGTATGCGTGCAATGTTATGTATGTATGTATGTATGTATGTATGTATGTATGTATGTATGTATGTATGTATGTATGTATGTATGTATGTATGTATGTATGTATGTATGTATGTAGGTATGTAGGTAGGTAGGTAGGTAGGTAGGTAGGTAGGTAGGTAGGTAGGTAGGTAGGCAGGCAGGCAGGTAGGTAGGTAGGTAGGTAGGTGTGTGCGTGCGTGCATGAGTGCGTGCGTGCATGCGTGTGTGTGTACACACGCATGTGAGTCATATTTATAATATACTGAAAACAAATCCCATAACAAACATACTTCATTGTTAATATTCATTATTGTCACTATTCCTTTCTCTTCGATGCTTATGCATAGAAAGTCTACATATATCAGTCTGGGGAAAATACAGACAAGACTGGACCATTTCCCATGTGTACGGGTTAAAATAGTGCGCATGACATAAAAATACCTTGAGGCTAATGAAGAAATAAATTGATTTTGCGATATTTTCAGCGACCAAAATAAACATTACTTATATCTATTAAAGTTTGAAATGACATGTTTTGCTTTTGTGTCCAATTGAATTTACTTTAGTCAAAACTCTGAGCGCTGCTAGAATCCAATATAGCTGATGCACCTCCGATTCATTACAGTTATTTAGTTATTTTACCCCCAGGCCATGGTTTAGTTATCCGTTTCAAAGTGAGGAATATCAAAGTGGACTGGGTGGTCTTTTTTTAGTAAACGAAAATTACTTCTTAGTCGTAAATAATTTCACTTCCTGTAAACCTTTTTGACTCAGTTGTCATCTGCCATGATCTTTTCAAGACAAAAGGTCAGACCTAGTATGTCCGTTATGTATTCAAGTAACCGATATCCTGATTAGGTCTATGCGTAACACGTGTCGTAAAAAATATTTACCTTTAAGTCACTAACCGGCAACACACACCAAGATAGCACTTTAGTCTACTTTAAATTGAAATTAATTAAATCACTAATTGTAAAGTTGAACTATATAAAAGAAAGTTGAAGTTGACAGCAATATGTTAATAAACAAAAAATCCCCTTTATAAAAAGAGTACACAACGGGAGAAAAATTTTAATGGATTTAATTTACATAGAGGTGATTATAAACACAATATGGTAAAATTCACCGAAATTTCTTTTTAATATTCTTTCAATTATCATAAGTTGTCAGGTTATCATGTTAGCCTACACCACCAACTGACTAGGTGCATGGAGCACTACCCTAAGATCATTTTCCATCATAAGCTTTACTCATGTTCCTTTACTTAGACACACACACACACACACACACACACACACACACACACACACACACACACACACACACAAATATACACACACACTCTCTCTTGTACAAAAGAACCACTCATTTAGAATACCCAAGGTGTTTTAAAATTGCCTGTTTGTTTCTTTGATACGAAAGTAAAGTAAAATTAAGAAATGAAGCCCAAAGTTGACAAAAATGTCCAATTGATCTTAAATTCTTCAGTTCTGTTATTCGCTCTGGCGACATTTATACAGCTTTTTATACGATCAAACACAATTTGTATAATAGGTAAGATATGGGATTTTTGATGGACAACGTGATTTTTATATAACATAATTTGCAAGCTTGCAAGATTAGAAAGTTTACAAGATCATCTATTTTGTATTTATTATAAAGACATCATTTAGTGTAACTTTGAACTTTAGGTCTTACATCCATTCCACAATAATTACCAAACATGTTCAGTAACTGAAAAGTCATAGAATAAATACTCAGGTTTTTCTGTCCCTCCTTACAGAAGGTGAATGCATCGTTATTAATTAATCTTTTTCAAGGTCTGGTTTGCGGCAATAGTTATATGTAGAACTCTAAAATTAAAGGTAATCATTATTGTGTATACTGTACCAAGTTCAAACAAAACAAAAGAGCTGAACCATTCATTTACACCAATTGCTCACCCTAGCTGCCTGGACAACGTTCATATTTACCATTTGACTTTTGCATATTGGCTTTTATAAGATCTTTATAAATAAATTTATGTCTTGCTCTTACCCTAAGGAACAAAGTTTTGTCGAGTATTTCATGGCAAATATTTTCACTTTTAGGTTTCTTTTTTCCATTTGACTGATATCTTTGAGATAAGGGCAACGCACATAATAACAGGATTAATTCGTGTGGTTTATTTTTTTTTCATCAAAAAAGTTATAGAGATCTTTGTGAATGGACAAGGTTTTAGTAAAATACAACACCGTTTTTTCTATGTCTTGCATATGATTTAAAATCATATATAGTTACTAAATTAAGAGTATCTTGAGACAAGTATTCGTATATAATGGACGGTTTATTTTCCATTGAGATAAAGCATATATAACATCAAGCCAAAAAGTTGTTTTTGTTTTTTTTTGAGATTTATTTTAATTTTGATCTTCTCAATTTTAATAACAGTATACCTCCAACTTTTCCAAAAACTTGACCAGAAACAGTTACTTTGCCTCAAACCATCTTCGTTCGGTATATAACGCCTAATGTAGGAAAGTTTTATAGAACACATAAATGAGTGCAAATTAATAATATTTAATCTCCCTTCCTTAAAGAACCTATAAGAGTATCTCTTTACCCTCTCGCTGTCTACGTAAAATAAACACGAAAAAATAATTTATTCGGTTCATTTTCTATTTGGGGTGGGGGACTTTGTAGAACAGCAAAAAGATGAAAAAATTGGTAAAATCAAGGATTTTACCAAGGCAATTTTCCAGTTAATGACAAATGCCTACTACTCCACCAGCTGAGAAATTTATTTACTTCCTTTAACTTCGTTATATAATTAAGTTCAACCATATCCTTCAATTTCAAAGAGAAATATACTCCCAGTAACTTAAAATTGGCAACTCACCAGTTAATATCAATTTAAGAAATATTTTTCATTTGAAAAGTTTTAAATTTCCAATACAAATAGCTTTAGATTTAAAAACATCGCAGCGTAGACCTGATGCTGAGGCAAAGTCATTTAAAATCAAGGACAAAGGACAGCCGCCTAATGGTAACAAAGCGTCATCAGCGTACTGTCTTAATTTGAACTCTATTCCAATATATAAGATGACTGTAATATTTGTGTTCCTTTTATTGGTATTGCAAGAAGTTCAATTCCTATTATAAATAAGTATGGTGCTAAATGCTATCCCTGGCGACAACCTCTCTCTAATTTGAAACATGGGGATAAAATGCCCATTATTACTAACACAACGTTTAGACTCATTGTAGAATACTCTAAACCACTGACAAAAAGATTACACGAAGTTAAAAAATTCCAGGGCATTCTCCAAAAGGTCCCATTCGACCTAGTCAAAAGCTTTTACAAAGTCTATCAGTAAGAGAAGACCAGATTCATTTTTTTTCAAGATACTCTATAAGATCATACAAAATGCTTGTCTTTTCACCTACGAATCTTCCTTTCATAAACATTTGTGACTGCCACTAATAATAAAAGGAGGACATTCTTGACCCTAGAGGCAATTGATGCCGAAGAAATTTTAAGTAGTGAAATTGATCTCCAATTTTTAATGAATTTTCTGTCTTTATCTTCATATGGAATGTAAGAAATAAATCTGTGAGACTGAAATTCTGACAAATGGTGGTGATCATGTCACGCATTTTGAGACCTCAAGTGAAAGCCGCCGAAATGTTTCCAAAAGAATTTGTAAAATTCAAAATTAAATCCATCGGAAACGGATAATTTCATTTTTCATATTTT